TCCTTTTCAGTGTCGTCGTTTTATTTCACTTCTGTTTGTGCCGGTTAAGTGATGTATCACCGAAGAAGTTACCACTACACGGTGACATTCTTCCTGTGTTTTTTTAACAGCTCGCCCTTTAGTGGATAACGTGATTAGAATAATATTGAGGCTTACATGAATTAGTAATACGCTTGGAATTCTTAAAGGAAAAAAATAATATCTTTTAAAATGCTACAATTGAAAACAATTAATTATTCTTTTAGCTTAAACGTCAAAAATTAAGTTTTAATTTATTAAATAAGTAAACGGCGATTATTTTACGAATTGCAAGGTATCCCCAAAAATAAAGTGTGTACATTGTTTACCGGGTTATAACTTCTTAAGTAGATTTTTCCTCAGGGTGTGATTCCTTAAAAGTCATAAATTGATGAAGATTAACTTTGGACTTGAGAAATTTATTTTAAATTGCTCTTGGAAATATAAAAATTTAGCAAAGGTACAAAGATAATGACAAGCTTCCGTAATAATAAAAACATAAGTTTGAAGCAAATGGAATTGTTCAGGATGCTTATAGAAAGGGCAATGACATTAACGAGGTCCACCAGCCAACAAGGAGTACTAAGGAGTTGTAAAAAAAAACCTCGAGTCAATCAAAACGCGAGCTCGGCACCAGAAGACGAAATGTCCGTCGCTTTTGAACGCGTTTTAAAATAAAAAATTCTATGGATGAAGCATGCAATCAATGAAGACGATCCAGATTGAAAAAAAAAACCCTTGCACACTATTATCGTGATGTAGCAGCATATCTTGATGAGAATTTTCCAAGCAGATGGGCTGGACAAAGGGGCAACTATAAATTACACTACCCTTGATCTCACGCCAAGGGATTCTTTTCTGCGGAAGTACCTTAAAAATGAAGTCTATGCCCCAAAAACTGATGACACTGAAAGACTTAAAAACCGCAATTTAGCAAGATTTTACCGCAATATTATATAAAATATCTGTTGAAGCTCGTGAATCAGTAGATCATCGCTATCAGAAATATATTTACCAGAGCGATAATAATTTTGGATAGTTGCGATAGAATAAAAAAAAAATCTTAAAACTAAGCATATGGAAGAACGAAAGTTCTGATCATTCAAACCGTGTTTTAGTTTTTTCTTTCGGGACGCCCTGTAGAACTGTACCAATGACGGGGCATAGTTTTCACCATGTGATATTCACAGAAAATGCACCATATATAACGAAAATATGTAGTTACCCTGAGGCTTGTGTAAGGAAGACAAAATTAGTGAATCCCACCGTTCACATATAAAAGTTGGTATTTAGGCGGCATTGAGATCACTATAGCGTAAATCTATCTAGCGAACTTACCGTGAAAGTAAGTAAACTAGATCCAATCAAAGCAGGTTATTAGCCATTGATCGACCCTCGGCCTAAAATGCCTCACAGAACCGCTAACAAGTGCTAATTAGCACGCATTTAGTATAAGCAGGTAATAGAGAAAAACCAAGACTAACTGCAAGCCTACCCAACTACGGCTTTAGTGTCGTTCCAAATAAAAGCAATTTTGCTTTTTCCTTTTGTCTCTCGGTGTCAGGGGCAAAATATTTTGTCATGATTCGTCATATTCTAAATGCTACTTTTACTAAAATGCAATGTAGCATTATTATATAGAGCACGAGTAATGTAGATCTGACATGAGATCAATTCCGTCCATGCTTCCCGCTAGGAGCCAAGCGTAGTTGAGCTCAAACGGTAGCATGGGCGTCATTCATCTTCCTTCATCAAGATTGCCACCAGGTTAAGCCAAATTTCAATGAACACTTTCTATGCCTATAGTACGTATAGCTAGTTCGTTAAATGAAGGAAATAGGAAGCGTATTCACTGAAACTGTGTATGGTGTACATAGTCAAACACCAGGAGACATCAGTTAGTAAAAGATGAAACCAGCAAACGACAAAAAGTCGAACATTTAATGGTGAGAATAAGGATAATGTAAAAATAGACCATTATAATTTGTCCATCAGTCTACTACATTGGGAATTCACCAGGAATTCGTGCGAGGCATCAAAAAACCTTCGTGAGCCTGCCGAATGAAATAGCGATTTTAGGACACCTTCATTTCAATAAAACCGTTACTTTTTCTTCTAAAGCTAGAGTTTGCACCGTAGAAGGTTACAGGTATTGGGTTTGCGTAAGCACATGATGGTTAAAGGCGACATGTTAAGCTTCGAGCAACGCCGGAATTTCGAGGGAAGGCCGCTTGCTGCTCTTGAAAAAACAGCGCCAGCTAATGGGCTCCTGCCGCTTAAAGGTGCACTTATAAAACATCACTATAGAGATGAAATGTTATGTTTTCCTCACCAACTTTACAAAAAAAAGCTTCATTTGATGAACAAGCTGATAATTTCTTTCTGATTTATTTGAGAACTGCGAAAAATTTAACGTGTACACAATTCGTAGTTCTTTAGAATAACGGTAACATGACCGGTAGACCTCCATTTAACGAAAAGCTATAAGTCGCAATAGAATTCGTTATCGGTAAGTTGGTGATTCGATCGTTGCTCTTATGTCTTAGAGAGTAACGTATTCAGGTGATACTCTTAGGACTACATAGCGATGTGGGTTCGGACGTAGGCACGTTTCGGTTCGTGCTGCGGGCCGTCTGTATCATGGAGTGACCTATACGCTAATGCTAGACGTAAAACTCGAAACGTATTGTTTTATGTCGTCCGGTTTTATGATGCTTGAAGCAGTAACGGGGCATCTGGGCGCCTGCACAGATAAATTTTTACGGATATCTTTCTGTTTCCTATTTACACGGCGAGGATGACGATCGTGACGGCCTAGCACTTAAAGAAAAAGATCTGTCCTACGAAAGAAACATCCTGCCATATTCTATGCCTAAAGAAACGGTGCCATTAAAGGTGCATATGGACATTGCGTGGCCACAACACCGAGCGCTCGAATCTCATGACCCACTGCAGTAATGAAATCCAAGCGGTTCCAGAGTCGGAAGCTATCAAGTATTTCGAGAGGATGGCCGGCCAATGATGAAAAGCTTCTATACATAGTATAATTGAGCCGATCATGAGGATGGGCTCTGCCAATGCTACTGTATGGACATCTTGTGTAACGCAAAGCTACTCAAATGATGAGATATGAATTGCTCGTTTTATCGGCAAAATCATCACAAAGAAAAATGTGCAAGAAACCTTGCCCTCAATCAACACCTATTGAAACCTAAGATCTACCGTGAAATTATCAAATAATATGGGCTTTAGAAATATACTGGTAAGTTGAAAAATCGTCTAACTGCTTAAACTAGCTTATTGTAAGAGACCTGGCATAGCCCTGCTCCATCAGTAGATTAGGAAGAAAAAAGCTCAGCAGCAGAAACCAGTTTCTATTTTTATAGCTTGAGAGCTCAACATTACTACCTTGTATCTGTTTGTAAATGTTAAATCGCTCCTTTTAATTAGTCGATTTCTTAGTTGTTGTGAAGGAGGTTCGCGTCACTTTAATGAAAACTGAATCTTTAGAAAATCCATGAAGTGGCAGCCATAACAATACTGCGGTTGTCTACCAGTACGAGATACCACTAAAAAACAAACACTGCTCCCCCTGCTTCTGTCGCTCGCTCGTTTTCTCCTCGTACAGCTTCGTTGTGATTGGACCATACCAAGGCTACATGCGCGTAATTCTAAAACCATGTCTCATATCGCTTCATTTCAAATTGGTACGAAATGATGCCCCAAGAAATCTACGTGAGAAGGGGCATCTAGAACATGAGTGTATCTACATTTTACCACGAACACGGCACGACGTATACGTACTAGCGTCAATACGGGAACCGAAGGGTTTTGGCAGAACACTTCTATGCTAGTTAAGATATCAATATCTATGAAGAATCTTGAATACGTTCAGAATATAATAGCATGTGGTAGCGTTCTTTGGCTTGATGCGTTATGACGACTAGATTTTAAAAACGCACAATCGCTTTTTGAAATACAATTAAAATATACAAAAGAAAAAATCGAAGTATTGTATATCGTGTGCTTGTTACAACACTTCGCTCCTGCTATAAACACCTGTAAGGAAAAAGAATCACGATAGATACTACGTTTCACTAGCGTATTCCATTATTACGTTTCTCTCTTAAAGACGATCGCAATTGCCCGTTTCTGTATGCAGCTGTGCATCTGCCCGCACTTGTCCACCATGTACAGTCTAGTTGAAACGACCGTTAGCTGCAAAATAACGGGGCTTGTAACGATTTTTTCGAGAAAAAAAACTTTCTTTTCGGTGGTCGTCGATTTTTATGTGTGGGAAACTCTAACGCATACCTGTTTCTCCAGGGAATGTTTTGTATCTTAACTTCGAGACGGTAATTAACATAGGCCCTATTGTGCGATACTTTAAGCTGTTGTTTTTTTTTCATAACATCCTTATTAGCCATCGTAGTTTCAAGTTGTCGTAAATTGTGGCAACCTTATTCGAATATATTAACACTTCTTGAGATAAGCTTGTCTGATTGCAGGTAAAATGCGAGAGTTTTATCAGTCTATCGAGGAATGGCATGTTCCCAGAGATTCAATTGAGGGTTATTGTTTGAAACGGCGGTAAAAAAATTGTCATAGCAGACAAAAATTCTGCAGCCGACATTTGTCGTATTCGTCTGCACCATGTAGGCTTTAAGCTATTGTCAATACGCCTATTTGTCTATCTGTTGGTCCAAGGGAATCTGTGTAGACGTTCCTATCCGGACCAAATATGAACAGGAACATTGAAAGGGCTTCTTGTTTAGAGCTTCGATTTCACGGTAGATTTAAAGCCACTTATATATATCAGCGAGCCATCCGTTTTACCTTTCGGAAACCCATCTGACTATGGTATAATATTTTTAATACATTGGCGTGTAGCTTTTGATTCCGAGTAAAATAGTCTCTAGATGCGTGCCTAAATGGGCGGCTGAAGAAGAAGTGCAATAGATCTTCTTCTTGTAATATACTACCTTCGAATTTTATCGAGCAGGCAACACATCATTTCCAGGAAGTCGTTGTGGAAATCCGGTTTACTTTATCTTCAGTTCTTTCCCTGGAAGGATCAATTATTCGAAATCAGTATTAGCAAATTCATCTATTCGTTTACATTTCGAATTCATAGCCCAAACGTAAGATGGCCAAATGTTGAAAGCTGCTGGGGTTATAAAATGGTTATAAAAAATTATCTCATTTCCACGACTTTTTAGGGAAAGTTTTACGGTCGTAAGGAGAATAAATTTTTGTCAGTGGATGTATGTCAACGTTATATGAAAATCTTCGGTTTCAATCTGTGCGTGTCTTCGTTCAATTTTTGTAAATAGCCCGCCTACCATCTGAGTTGATTACGATCTCTACACAATTGATTTGTATCAGCTGCGGCCACAATCGGTTAGTTTAAGCCGCAGGCCCGAATGAAGAAGCTCAGGAGCCTGATTCAAGCATGACCGACCTTCTTCTTTAGTTCACCCGGAATTTATTAAAGTGCGTCTAATGTGTCCCGAATGCCCCTTAGTCTATCCACAAAAATAATGTATATATAATCGTTTCTAGAAGAAGCCTCAGTTCAGAAAGTCCGATGTACAAACACTTAAAGAATGCTTTATTGAATTATCAATTTTATTCACTCACATCCAGCTTTGTTCCTTTATTGGAAACAGGAAATCTTAAGAACGTTATTTCAGTTTTCGAGTGATCACAATTTCTAGCTGTGCCTTGAGACCCAGACTAGCGAGTTTATAACTTGCACTTGGCATAAACTTCAGGTCATTTGTTATGTTCTTAGATCAGTCGTTCTCAAAATAATAATACTGTGGCTCAAATACGCTGAACTGCCAGAACTTGTTTAGCTACTTCCCTTTCACTGAAAGTCACTGGTGCAGCTTTAATACCAGTGGGAAGGTAATGATATCTCAAAGTATCTTCTAAGTTAGAATTTATGCGTTCAGTGTTTATATTTTTATGGGAAGGTGCGCTTCTCTTTGGCCAACGGTGAAGGAGTTATCACTTGTTTAGTTCGCCACACACATCTCATAGAAAAGCAAGTGGATAGTGGTGGTTCTTCGGATCATTATTTAAGTCAGTGAAAAATTTTTCTTACTAAAACAACCGGAACAGCATATTCCGATCGTGTTAGCCGCGTTCTCAAAAGTCAAATAGAACGGGCGTTGCATTTAGGAATACTCGATGGTTACTTGAGCCCAGTTTGAAATAAGCTTTGTTTTTTTGTAAAGTCTTAAGCCTGAAAGAGATACAAGTGCACGCTTCCTGTTGAAATCGGCTATAACTTCATGATGCTTTTCATCAACAATTTACTGCGAAACGATCTTATCGTCGCCAGCGATAAAACTGTAAAGTCCGCGTCGTCTGAAGGTTGTAATAATCTAAATGATTATCGTCGGATGAACTTATCCCACGACAGACTTCATTGCCTCCGCGAGACGGGTGCCAATAGTAATTTAGCCACAAGGTCAGTGGAGACCGACACTCACAATTATGTAGAAAAGGGCAGATTTGGGTTCGGAAAGAGTTCGATGCAAACGGACAATTTACGAAGAGGGAACCTTGTTCTAACCAAGATTTCTAGCCGTTCTCTGTTATACGACTAGTGGTTTTAGCTTAAGCTTTCGAGGTTTACGGGCTATTTGAAACACTATAACGATGCGAGAGAGTATTCAACTTGGGCCCTCCATTGCCCTTCAAAACATACTTCGACCGATAATTAAGATAGTAACTCTTTTTTTCTACAATGCCCTTTTGCTTTCTAAAAAATAGCATACATTCATAAACTTGCTATATTATTTGTAGAACTTGACCTCATTTTTGTTAGTCGCTTTGGATAGCTTAAAGTTGTGCACAGTATCTAAAGTTAGTGATAAAGAGTATGCATGGTCTTTAAATAACATAGTCATGATCATGCGTCCATAGTTTTGACTGTGTAAATTAGAGATGTTGATCAGCGATAACGCTAGCTTCACCGATCTTTACTTCAAATTGCCTTTCAATAAACCTGATCCTAGTCACGTTGACGTTCAGGCACAGCCAGCATAAGGGCTCCAAAGCCGACGCTGCCTAATGGTTTCCATTTTCTTAACCCACTTAAATATCGCCCGATATCAACGTTCCGCATCACAATTTCGAACTAAATGTCTTTATTGAGAATGCCAGTTTGAAGACATACGACATTATTGCTAACTGTAATATTGTATAACGCCCCCATGGTCTGGAGCACCGTACCTTTACATTTCTGCCGAAAGACAGAAAGAAACCCGTTGTATCCATCCTTACCTAGAATGTAACATCTTTTCGAAACGCTTCCGTTTCTAGCTTAACATTTTAGACTTTACTCCTAATAAACTTCATCTACAACACTTTAGAATTTTCATTCGAGCTTACAATTTTTATATTTGTCCGATCAGCTTTTACTTTTAAGCATTAGCACTTTTATTAGAAAAACTTAACTCCACTTTATTATGTTTGCAATAGTATGAGTGAATGTGCGCGACGCATGCGTTAATAACAGCCCACTTTTTGAATAAATGCGGTTTAGGTTTGTATCGAATAAATTACAAATTGACAATAGCAACTTTGTTTTTTGTCGCGTTTGGTGGTAGCGGCAACGAATCAGCCCTGGCAGATGCCTGGATGTTGGCGAGGAAGAAAAAACAGAAGCAGGCCTTCCTCTTGAGGCGGAAATCATCGACGCCGCGGCACCATCAACCAGAATACACGGCTTGGGTCGCCTTTAGATCGCCATTAAAATCGGCTACTTCGACGGGGTACTTCGAAACGGTCATGGCACAAGTGGCGTTTGTTCAAGATGAAGCTGTTTGAGAGACTTTCGGAAAATGTGGTCGTTGGTCCATCAGAGTACTCTGCACGCAAGAGAAGACAGGGTCGAATTCAGTTTTCGTATCTTCTTCAATAATAAATGTTTTCTGGCGGACTGATCGAGGTCATTGTACGCGTTCGAGGGGACGACTGAAATGCGTGCGAGAGCGATACTTTCGACAATCACCTCAACGTGGCTGCTTTGGCAAATTTTCAAGCGCTCGCGCCACTCTCCCGAAGTCCAAAAACGTGGAGCGGGAACAGAATCTGCGTTCGCGAGTGGTGGCACGGGAGGCTACAAGTGTCTAGCAATTGGCCACAACTGCGAGGAACAGAGTTCAAGAACCATTGCAGGACGCCGCCTTTGTCAGAGCGTAAGTTGCATGAACGGGCCCGCTAATGAGCCTCCACTAATGTTCGAGGCTCCACTTCTTTACGGGAAGACAGTTCTGGAAGATTCTGGAGCGGATGTAAACGTAACCTCTCCGCAGCTAGTGGATAAGCCGCGTTCGTCGAATGCCGCAAGGCTGTCGGAGTTCGCACTTGCATGCGATACGCAGCGCATTTCGCTAAGAGTTTTTGGCTGGTTAACGCTGCGGTCAGGCACGGGCCGGAAAAACCTTTCGTCACCATTGTCAACTTCACGAAGTATCGTAGGTAAGCCGATCAGCATTGTAGGGCAGTTAGGGGTACGTCATTATTATTATGAGGGCAACAATGTGAGCAGCAGTCTAAACAGGACACCCAATCACGAGATTCTACACTGTTCTTTGGAAAGTTTATACGCATCTCTGTACAGCGTTTTGAGCGCGGATGCGCGGGGCCGGTGTAAAGTACTGCTCGCGAACTTCTCATCAGGGTATATCCCATCAGGGCGGAAAAATATATCGAGTCTGAAAAAATGCATGGGTGGCACCAATGAACGGGTCATTTTCGAAATCCAAAAGGTAGCATATCTATGTCACAGAATCACGGCTGCTCGTGAAACAGTGTCTGACCTGATCGACTAGGGAATTTGAACTTTATGAGCCCATACTTTTGTTGCCGGGTGCGTCTTACGCCGCTAAGCTCGCTCCATGTCGTAATCTTCGCAAGGGACTTCGTTTTGAACGTTGACCACTACAGAGGTTATCCGCTGCGAGAGTGCGCGCTGGCGCGTCATCACATACGCTAGCCGTTACTTGAAAGCGCCGTCGAGATATTCTGGCCGTATTTTTGTGGACAACGCTCAGAACATCACTACTTGTCCGTAGCGTAAACGATATTCTTGACGGCGCTATCTGTCCCACTCAATGTCAGCGCCGGAATATCGCTTCAAAAAAGCAAACTTAGCCTTCATGTACACCCTGAGGGGGCAAAGCTTCCCTCGCCGCGGTATCGGTCGACTAATATCCCCGCTTAGTCCCGTGCCGATTCGGGGGGCGACGTTGGCTGTGAATTGCTCATTTGGGGACTTCGGCGCCATCGTGTCTGACAATGAGTTCGCGACGAGCCTGAGACTAGTTCGAAGAAAACCACATCAAACTCATCGACGGCTGTCGGACACTCACGGTATGAGCCGTTCAAGTATATGATCCGAACGCTTATGGAAAGACTGCGTTTCCTGGTCACGGAAGGACATAGATCGCTCCAGAAGCCGCTACCCAAGTAACGGCGTGTTCACTAAATACGTCCACGAGAGCCTGGTAGGGACGCCATTCGAAGAGCTCCTGGCTTCCGTGCCGCAGTGCCTAAGGAGCCTTTCGACTGTAAAAGGGCCGAGAAGCGGAATGCCCTGGAACTTCGCCAGAGAAAGGACTTCTCCAGAATCGGCTGCAAGATTTGAAGGCGTGATTCATAAGATCAAGGATGACTTTGGAAAACATTTTTTACTCTAATACTTTGAATATTATAGCTATCCATGATGACGACGGTGAAGAAATCACCTACAAAGTCATGTTCCAAAAAAAAAAAACTGATTTTGCTCTTTTGCAACTCTTTTGCTTACTTGAATATAAACCTTGTTATTTCTGTCTGACGCCTTTTGGACAAACTCTTCAGGAGCATTTTTTGTAATTTCGACAATCTTCCGACGGATGCTCTGCTTGTCTTCCAGCCGCTTGCTTATACACAAGCAACGGTCCTAGCTTTATTTTTCTGATTGCCCATGAGGACAATACAGGACAATATTTTACTTCAATTCTAAATATAAATTTGAATCTTTACTTTATTTCATATCTTTCTTAA